GAAAACACCTCAGCTCTCCTACTTTTAAAAAGTTTTAATTCAGGAAGCAGGTAACATTACATGTAAATAGGTGAATTCATACCTGGTTCATTTTTCTCAGTCACAAGACCGCAGATCTCCATTCTCAGGCTCCGTCTGTTTACTTCAAATCGAAACTGAAACTCAAACACCGACCCTGCTGCCTTGAAAACGGCCTTAAATCTTTACAGACTGACTCATTTAACTATTAAATCAGTGTTATTTATAAGTTTACAATGATGTCAAAAGTTTGGGGAAACAACGAAGTCGCTCAATCACCTCTCCGGTATCAGTCAGAAGACCAATAGTCGACAGTGAAGTCATGCCTCATTAATATTAATTATTTTGTGCGCAGACTTGCCAAGACCTACTGGAGGGCTGTGCCTACGTTGATTCGTGAATATTAATTAGGTTCTGTTCGGAAGCTGTGCGCTGGTTTGATCGGTTAAGTTTCAATGCAACTTCCGCATGGATGTTTCTTCAGTTAAGGGGATTTTCCTTTCAATGCAAGTGTTGAAATGTTGAAATAAGGGGATTTTCCTAATTGTAAGTGTTGAAATCCATATTTTGCACTCTAAACATGATTCTGCTGTATGAAAGTATCATCAGTGTTAGTGATTAAGGACCAACAGCTTTAGTAAATCACTGACAAAACTAATAAAAGTTTTGTTTAATTGAAATATATATTTTTAATTCGATTCAAAACAAAAGCTGAACAGTACTATATGTGACCTGCTTCATTTAAGTTATTATACCTTGGAAACATTTGATATATTTAGAAAACCATTTTATGACTGTTTTTTTTACTTTGGTACATAATACTCAAATGATGGTGCAAGCTAAAATATCTAGAATTAGGTGTTGATTTGAGCATATAAGATTGAACATTGATTAAATGTTACGAATATTTTAGCTCTTCATCTTTCGATGCCGTCCGACTATTCTCAGTCCTTGCATGGGCCCATGGAAAGAATTATGAACATGAAGCCAATTGTCTGTTCACAAACTTCTTCAAAGTTTATTATTGCATCCGTAGATTATATAGTTACATTGCAAGGTGTGGTGCAGTGCTTTTATCCAATACAAATTATACACTACTACATCATATATGAATGTAAGGAGAAAAACAACTACATATAAAGGAATACATTTGGCAAACAAAAGGATTTTCTTCCAGCTACACTTCTAGATCCAGATGGGTCTGTTCAGATTGGATTCAGTGAACCCCCCAACTGGAAGACCCTTGTCCTTACATGAACATTTGAACTCATGAGGAGATATACATATATGCGCATGCGTGTATAACATAAGGGATAGAGAGAGGTAAAGACAATAGAGAGGAGAGAGAGAGAAAGCACAAACGGGAGCGAGACAGAGAGAGGAGGGGGGGGAGACAAGGAGCACAAGAGGAGGGGAAGCGCAGAGAAGCAAAGTCACAGGAATATTAGGCAGAGAGCGTGATATCATTTAAGTTATCTGTTATCTGTTCTTTGGTCTTCTGACGCATCACTGAAGACGTCAGTGTAGAAACACTGACATCTTCAGATTCCCAGAGTCTCTTTGGTCACCTGACATCCGAGCAGGACATTCCCCCCACACACACACTGAGACAGATCTCCCACTGAAACACACACACACTCAAATCATCAGTGGAGCTCAGGAGCAGCTGAACACACACACACACACACACACTTATACGGTATAAAGACAGGAAAGCCAACTGGAATTCACTTACTTGTGGCTTTTAAAATCTCAATATAGCAACAGCAACAGTTTAATAAAAATTAAGTGACAGATCTGACCTGAAGCTCAATGAAAAACACATTCAGATTTACAAATATCAAACTATTAGTTCTTGCATTCTGGCAATAATACTGCACAATATATGGAGATAGATCGTAAATTAAATGTCCACAAATGTTAGATTTGTTAGGGTCTATGCTAACTAGGAATGTGTAAAAATGTGTCCTGGAACCTGGTATGAATCAAATCTAGTCATCAACACTTCTTCTTGGTATCTATGTTCATGCGTTTTTGTATTCACCGCCATTACTTTGACCTGCTCATGGTCATAAATGTAGTGGATATGATGTAAATTCAACATGTTCAGTGTGATGAAAGAATTACTCTGCAAGTTTCAACATCTCTTCTCTGACTCAAGACATCTTTTACACAAGTTTGAATTAAACTGTTTTTCCCCAAGATGATAACTAGACCCACTCACATGCAACACGATGAGGTCATGTGACTACAATAGCATTAATTAATTTTTAATCATTTAGCGTGGAATAATGCCTTTAACTTACTTTTTTTTTTGTTTAAAGAACAGTAGGTTGTATACAGTGTATAATCAGTACGTAGTGACCTAGTGAACTAGTATTTAATTCCGAGTATAACTATTGCGTCAATTTCATGTCATGTTTGATAGTTAGTGTTTGTTCGTGTGTGAATATACCCCTTTGTTTGCCTTCAGATTCTACCTGTAGAGACAACACAGCCCCTTCATTACAATCTCTGTAAATGACAACAAACATTAACCATGAGGTGACTTTGCCTCAGTGTTTCAAACATAATTTAAGTTTGTGTAGGAGCGAGTACCGCTCAGATTTTTACGCCAAACTAATTTATTATGCAGCTCCTAAATATATGACTGATTCTTCCATTAAAGTTAATATTTTAAAAACTTTTTCCTAATTTAATATATTTTGCACGCGAAATTGAGGTCAGATTCCAACGTCAATCAAATCTGAACATATTACACGTTGAATAAACGCCCTCTACTGGAGAAACAAACTACATGACAAATACACTTGACAGCTAAAAAACTAAAGACATGAAGACATGTTGACCAGAGATTTTGCGTTGTCATACAGTTACCAAACAGTATTTGGACACTTAAAGTGAAGGAATATCACTGCATCAGATATGTTACCAAACTAAAAGTCATATGCATTAGTCTTTTATACCAAATATGTTTACTGAATTTAGACAAAAATATTAACAACAATTGCTATCAACAATAAAAGTGTACCATACAGCAAACAATTTTATTTTGTTTAATATATGCAAATCTGTCTTAATTTTAAAATCTGCCAGAATATGTATGTATGTATGTATGTATATATATACACACACACACACACACACACACACACACACACATAACATATATATAATTTATATATTTACATATTTGTTTTACATTTGAATTTAAAATAATTTAATAAAAATTTTAATTGATTTGTTTTCTATCATGTTTTATGGATAGGACTGAACGGCAATCATTAGAAAGTTCTGAGACGCTCAAAGCCTTATGACGCCACAGAGCGCGTTCGAATAGAACTCGCGGGGTATATAAAGCGCGTGACATTCTTACATTCTTTGTGGGTTTGTTGTAGTGGTCAGTGAGTTTTCACAGCGATGGGACAGCGAGGTACTAAAGTGAGTCCGATGACGGTTGGCGAGGTGTACGATCAACATCTTAGTACACCCCCAAAACCCAGCACCAACACGGCGTTTCAACATCCTCATCCCCGCGATGAGACCCCTGTTGGTGCTGGAGGAGGAGTAGGAGGAGAGGAAGGAGTAGGAGAAGAGGTAGGAGGAGAGGAAGGAGGAGAGGAGGAGGAGAAGGAGAGGAAGGAGGCAGAGAGAGTGAAGGAGAAAAGAAAGAGCAAGAAGTGGTGGCGGAGGCTGCGCTCTTTCTTCAGAGCTGCCAAAAAACAGCCTCCAGAGAGCAGCTCAGGTCAGGGAGAGGAGGAGCAGCAGCAGGATGAAGGACAGAAGAGGAAGGTGGCATGGGCAGGAAGAAGTAGTGATGGTACATTACACATCCATCTTATGAAAATTGATACCATCAAACACAATATCAAAAATACACATCAGCACATATTCCAAAATCTACGTCAAGGCCATGATTAGATCTTTATTCCTTTACATGTTAAAACAGCCTAAAATTATATGTATGTACTAAAATATGATAAAGTATTTAATATAGTCTCTATTAATTAAAATACAGTCATTGAAATAGTAATCATATGAAATAAGATTTAGGTTAAATAAGTTAAATGTTTTAGGTTAAATACCGCTTGACACATCACAAGACACTGCTGTCACTTTGAAAGTTCATGTGGTTTTATCTTTTAATAGACTACATCTTCAGTCGCTACACCATTGGTGATCAGCTGGGGAAAGGTGGTTTTGGTGTTGTGTACGAAGGCAGACGTTTGGATGATGATCTTAAAGTAAGTTAATATAAATAACACATTATCAAGCTAGAAAATGTTTGTCCTGTATTATCCTCATCCTTTACTCTTTTAGTGTACCTTAAGTTCTTTTTTTTTTGTTTTGTTCATCAGGTGGCTTTGAAATATGTCACGAAGACCAAGCACACGGAATGTATATTCATTGTAAGTACATTGCACTATAAACAATATAAAAAACCTCATATTAACAAATGAATTGAATTGAATGTAACAAAAATCCCTATTTGGAAAACCACCTCCATCTAACCATCATAAGAACTGTCTGTCTTTCATCTTCCTCAGTGCCAGTGCTCTTGGTCGTGGCTCCTCCTCAAATAATTGCAGTCTCAGAGGTTCATGTAACGGCCCCAGCCAGAGTCAGCACCCAAGACCATCTCAGTCCCAGAGATACCCGTCTCAGCAACCCTGGTCTCCGAGCTCCATAGTGTGTCTGTCCAGACCCAGGGTTTCTTGTCAAAAGCTGCACAAGACGTTAAAAAGCCATTATAGCAGCCACAGGGGGTGCCGTCATTGGTACCTGGTCTACAAGCTCCAAATCGGAAATAAACAACAAAATTTGAAATTAAGGTTTTCAGTTAGTCATTTAGCAGATGCTTCAACCCAAAGCATTTCACAAATGGGGAACATCACAAACTATTAATAAAATAAAAAATACAAAATAAAAGTCTCAATAATACTCACAGAACCACAATGGCAAGGTAAGTAGAAGTTAGCAGAGGAAATACAGGTAAAAAACAAAACAAGAAACTGTGTTTTAATAGAACTTACTTAGAGGAAGTGCCTTTTGACTTCATACCTTTTTGAACTGAACCACTAGATGATGCTCCTTCACAGACCATCATGGAATGGAGAGAATATGATATCAAGTATCACAAAGTGATATTCCTTTAAATATATTTAAAATGTAAAATGTATCATTTTAAAAGCTAGCATACTTTATTTAAATCAAATGTATATTGACATGTAGGGACATCATGTTATGGAATTCCAAAAATGTAAGTGAATTATATGGCTTCAGAAGCTGGACTATTTTATGGTGTTTTTGACCTTTTATTGCATGAAAAAAGTGAGAAGATTCTTCTTTTTTACTTTAATAGTAGTGTCAGCATTGTGTTGCTGTTCTAATTTACTGAAAGTTTAACTTCAAACATGTTTGTGTATGAACGTAACCATCTGTCACACTCAAACAGGACTCTGCTGCTGTGTGAAGATATCCTCAGTGTGATTGAGGACCGGTCCAACAGCTTCAGATAAACACTGATACACACACACACACACATCATGTTATGGAATTCCAAAAATGTAAGTGAATTATATGGCTTCAGAAGCTGGACTATTTTATGGTGTTTTTGACCTTTTATTGCATGAAAAAAAGTGAGAAGATTCTTCTTTTTTACTTTAATAGTAGTCTCAGCATTGTGTTGCTGTTCTAATTTACTGAAAGGTTAACTTCAAACATGTTTGTGTATGAACGTAACCATCTGTCACACTCAAACAGGACTCTGCTGCTGTGTGAAGATATCCTCAGTGTGATTGAGGACCGGTCCAACAGCTTCAGATAAACACTGATACACACACACACACACACACACAACAACAACAACAACTATAAGAAACAAGAAAAGGTTTTGTTTAATCTGATTCAAATTCTGTTCCATTTCAAAAAATTTCCATATGCGCTTTAAAATATACTGTATAATAACATGTTCTTGATTTAAGCTAATAAAGAACACAATTTTAATAAAACCCTCACTGAAATGTTTAATAAAACACCAAGGGTTCTTTGGCCTTCTGACGGATCAGGATGTAGAAACACTGACGTCTTCAGATTCCCAGAGTCTCTTTGGTCACCTGACATCCGAGCAGGACATTCCCCAAACACACACACTGAGACAGATCTCCCACTGAAACACACACACACTCAAATCATCAGTGTGTGTCAAAGAACTGAAGATATTTGCTGAAACGTCTCTTGATGAACGCTGACTGAATTAATGTGGTCTGGAATGGAGATCGCACCTTTCTGAGAGCCGATCCATGACGCTGCCTTCATGGCCACAAACTGCCACTCCACCTGCTGCTCTATTTTACAGCCGTATAACCAGATCAGAGCCAGGAGAGTGGCCCATACTGACCCATCCACCTGTGTACAAACCATCATCCACTGCATTTGTTACTGGACACTGCACACAATCATCACTGTCTTATTATTTCATCACATCTCTCACCTGTGCTGGTTTCTGATTGGTCAGCTCATCCTCCGTCTTCCCAAACACATCAGCCAGTGTGGCGTCCAGATCCCAGCAGCCTGATGCCTTTTGCAGAGAAACCAGCTGCAGTAAAGGGTCCTTCTGGGTTTCTATATACACATAGTAGGTAGTATATAATGTGTATATTCAGTATGAAGTGAGCTAGTGAACTAGTATTCTATTCTGAACATAACGATTGCGCCAGTCTCATGCAGTAAAGTGTGTAGGTGTCCTGTTATTGTGTATACTATACATTTCTTGTGCCCATGAGGAAAACAAATTTTAAATCATACTAAACAATGTTTTTTGAAAATATTAGGTTTAGGTTTAAGGGATACAATATAAAGTTTGTACAGTGTAAAAATAATTGTGTCTATGGAAAGTCCACATAAAACATGGAAACCCAACATAAATGGAAAAGACAAGAGAAAAGAGAGAATTCATGCCTCTACAGCAAAACTGGACAAATACATTCCTAAATCCAACAATGGGTTCCCTAAAATGACTGTATGTTTCTCTTACTTGTTTCAGAACAAAGTTTAACAGTAAAAGACTGAAAATGCTCAACGGCATGATGATCAGAGCAAATGAGAAACATTTGTTTAGTAATCTCAGATTGAAATTAGTGCAAGTATGTGAAAGGAACTTCAGTGTCTATGTTTAGTTCATTCACCCTTTATTGCCAATGATGCAGAACAGCGGTCTCTTTCATCATAAGCAGCCCTCTTGTCTCTTTGGGAATCTGTCAGAAATATGTCGGCACATTCAAATTTTAAAAATCACAAAACTGAACAAATGCAAATAACAAATAAAAGCTCTGAAATGTGACTGCATGTTTATTTATTGCAGATCCTCATACTATAAGCATCTCATCTTCACTAAAGAAAAACCAACATGCATTAAAAAAATGCCTCAAGAGAGTAAAGTAAGAGAAGAGTAATCAGTATGATTTATCTTACCAAGATCACGAGACCCTTCTCGACACAGCTTCTCTAAAAACAAATTAAGTTCACATCTTGTTAACTGCTAAGTGACAAGGAACTACAGTATGTTGGAATCACGTTTTTAACTGGACTTTAACATTTCCTGAAGGAAATAGTGAACCCTGGGTCATTCTAAACCCTGGATAAATTAAATCCTGGCTTCACGTTTCACATTGCTCATAATTTACCCGGGGTCAACAAATAATTCTGAGTATTCATAATCTGCTGTTTCATGCTGTACATTCCTAAACCCTGGGTTAACGTTCTTATTTGCATATTTGCATTGTCAGAGTCATTGATTGGACGAACGCAGCACACAACCTGTTTACTCTACACATAACTGCTCAAGCATTATGCATGCATAATTTTAAAGGGGTCATATGATGCAATTTCAAATTTTCCTTTCTCTTTGGAGTGTTACAAGCTCTTGGTGCATAAAGAAGATCTGTAAAGTTGCAAAGACTAAAGTCTCAAATCCAAAGAGATATTCTTTATAAAAGTTAAGAGTCAGCCATGCCTAAATAATGTACAGTATTTGAAAAATAATGTGTTTTTTGAACATTAAAGCATGTCAACATATTCCATTATACCAAACACACAAAATAATGATCTTTAAAATAGCATCATACGACCCCTTTAAATATTGTAGACTGTACTATCACATTAATACTGAATGGACTTTTCAGACTATAAAAGTACGAATAAAATATTCTCTCCTTCACTCCAATTGACATTTGTCCCCTCACTGAAATGACAGTTTATCCAATGCACAGTGTTTCTTTGACTGTATATATGATGCATGTGACTGCCTGTTGGTTGCTAAGCAATGCTTCTAGTTGAAGCATTGAAACACATTTCATACTGTACAAATCTGGCACCGCAATGCCCTGATAAGTCTGCTCCGGGACATGGTTTCATAACCCTCGGTAAAAGCAGTGCTAACCCAGCTTCTACTTTACAAGCATGAACCTGTTACGGAACTGCTCCGAGACTGAGTGAGGATCCAAATGCAGTGTTTATTAGGAAAGTCCAGAATCGAAACCAGACAGCAGGCAAGGGTCAACACACAGGCAATCAGTCCGACTAAACAACAAGGCAGAGAATACAGGCAAAGAGTCCAAAAACCAAGATACATATAAACAGGAGACACGCTCAGAGATGCAGTGTAACACTTACAAGACTTCGCAAAGAATGACAAACTAAACCAGACTTATGTAGGGTGAGCAGACAGGGTAAATGAGACACAGGTGCAAATAGTGAGTGTTGATGAGTCCGGGCAAAGGATTATGGGAAATGAAGTCTTTGATGGAGTGGTAGAAGTCTGGGATGGAGTGCCCTCTAGCGAAGCTCACGGGCACTCCAGCTAGAGATCATGACAGAACCATTTCTTTACCCAGGGTTAAAAACAGGGTTTAGGACATCAATAATCTGGAGTCACATGCAGTGTGAAAAGTAATAATATGAGAGGAGCTTGTCATTCAAAAAGTTGCTCATTTATTTGTGCTGCCAAAAGGCATTTTTACACAATTTTGAATTTTAAAAAAATGTTTTTATTTCCAAGATGGTGACTAAACACCATTCACATGCAATTGTATGATGACAATGTAGCATACTACTTTGAATCATTTAGCAAAGGAAATGCCCTTAACATACTATATTTATTGAACAGTAGGTTGGTGTACAACTAGTATGTAGTGAGCAAATCAACTAAAATTCCAGCCCAAACTTAAACAGTGTCAACCTCATGTCAGGTTTGGCAGTTACTCTGTCTGTGTGTGTGTGTGTGTGTGTGTGTGTGTGTGTGGTCCAGGTATTCCCTACATTATGGGGACCAAATGTCCCCACAAGGATAGATTCTTCAAACTGTAATTTTTTTTTTTAATTTACAGAAAACAAAAAGCTTTTGTTTTCTGTAAAGGTTAGTTTTAAATAGATTAACAATCACACTGAAAGAAAACATAGTATAGAAAAAATAATCATAATCAACAAACATTTCTTCAAACGTCATATACTTCACTTTCACATAACTAATAATACATTGAGGTGCAGTGACCTTTCTGACAAAGGTCAGAACAGATTCAGATCTGGAGAAACAGCCAAGAACAGACACATCCAACAGAACTATAAACAAGAAAAGCTTTGGTATAGGGACGATATGGACATGTTTGGCTGAAAACTACTTTGCTATAATCCTAATAGCCAAAACCCTTAATTTGTTTTGTTTGTCAAACCAAAAAGTTGTGATTTTAAGCGCTCATTAATTTCCAGTGAGCGTACCATCAAATATGCCATGAAAAAAAAACAATAATTGCATTAAATCATACTTCACAAAACTATTACATTGAGGTGCATTTACCTGGCAGTAACAGGCTACGTATTTTGTTCCTCTCAGCTACAGGCAGAAAAACCAAAAGTCAGAACAGATTCAGATCTGGAGAAACAGCCAAGAACAGACACATCCAACTGAACTATAAACAAGAAAAACTTTGGAACAGACTCATGTGTTTATTGTGTAGAATAGAATAATTTCTTAAAGAGATCAAATCAACACCTCAAATGTATTAAACTGTGTGAAGCAGTATGCTACAACTCAATGTAGCATACTACTTTGAGTCATTCAGCATGGAAAATACCATTCACATACTATTTTTAAAGAATAATAGGTAGTATACAGTGTATATTCAGTGTGTGGTAAGTGAACTAGAATTCAGTTCTGAACACAACCATTGTATCAATCTCATCTCATGTTTGGCAGTTAGTGAGGTCCAGGATTCCCTAGGTTTGCGAGGACCAAATGTCTTTATCAATAATCATTTCTTCACAAACACTGCATAATTCACTCTTTCATAAAACTAATTTTACATCAAGGTGCACTTACCCCTCATTGACCTATACATTAGCATACCGCGCTCTGGTGGAGCAGAAAGCAAAGGTCAGAACAGATTCAGATCTGGAGAAACAGCCAAGAACAGACACATCCAACAGAACTAACAAACAAGAAAAGCTTTGGAATAGGGATGAATTAATATGGATATTTTCAGCCAAAAACTATTTTACTGTAATCTTAAAGGCCAAAAGCCTTTATTTGCTTTTGTATGGTTTTGTTTGTCAATGGACCCATAAAAAGAGTTACAAGAGCTGTTTTTGGCACTCAGTCATTTCTAGTGAATGTTACTGAACTGATGTTATATCATGACAGCTGTCTCAGCAAACACCACAAACACATTCTTGCAGGTGTAATGGGATGGTCCCGCTTTGGGTGGATGGAGCTGAGCGGAAGTTAAGCTCACAGTCTCTTTAAAAACACGCAGATTTCCTTTTACTTCCGTTTTCCTCCAGCATGGTATGCAGGCTGCATGTTCTTGTGTCGCAAGAGCAACCTGATATGCAGACCTGTATAAAGCTGAAATCCTTTTCTAACTCTGGGCGTGGGCCTGAGGGTGTTCAATCGTATCAGCACATTTTAGGGTATGTTATTATATTGATTGATGATGCCGCATTATTTTTTTAGTAGTGGCGTCTATTAACGGTGGCTCGATTATTTAGCGTGACCCAGGCAGGATTGGTGGGTCGTTTACCACCTTTGCCGAGGACCCGTCGATGCGCTGCAGAAATCTGTTCATTGCTGTTTTGCCGCTGTGTGGCGGTTTGGTACTGCGATCCATGGTGCATCGCTGTGGAGAGTTCGTTGGGCTTCCTTCAAGTGCACACGCATTGTAGTGAATGAATAGCGTATGTTTGTGTGAGTGTTTTCTGTGCGAGTGTGTGTGTGTTTGAGCGAGTACTGTGTTGAGTACTGTGCGTGGTTACTGCCAACTTTGATTATCTGTTGTCAATTCCCTTATAACCAACAAGGGTTATTATCTGCTGGGAGGGTTTACTTTATTGGTTCATTTCTTCTTGTTTGTGTATTGTGTGGATTGTGGTTCTGGTTATTTATTTTGAGTGGGGGTAATTTTGTTGTTTCACAGATTGGCATGAAAGTGTGAATTGAGGTTGTTGTTTGAATTGAATTTGTTTTTTTTCTGTTTTCTTTCCCAAATGCTGAGTTATCCCACGGGATATTGACATTGACCAGAAGGTGGGGTATGTATTTCTTCAAAAACGCTTTAGAAAACTGAGTCGGGCCGAGTACCAAAACAAACTTGTAGCCAATCAGCAGTAAGGGGCGTGTCTACTCATGATAAGGGACGAGAGGGCGCTCAGTGCACAGGACGGACATTAGCCGAGCCCAGCGACGACAGAAAGATAGAGATGGCGGATAAAAAAACAAAAAAGGTACTGTTTCCTTTATCTGTCACTCCACTTCTGTGTAATGTGCATGTTTGTTCAAAGAAGTTTTGAAGTTTGACAATGACTCACTTCCTGTTAAGACAAGCTGTACATAATGTCATTAATTACAGTAAATAAGTCAGGTGCACATTGAGGAGTTGTACCTGTCTGGGGTGATCGGGGTAACAGGGCTGACTGTACATTGGCTACCAGAAATCACTTACCCCACCTTTAAAATACTGTTATTATAGGTAAATTGAAGAAAATGTGATTGGTGCTCATCATGCAAAAGCCACTGCCACATACTGGCATCCTGGGATTTTCTATATACAGTTCATATCTGAAGAATTTGTTTTCAAAAGTTCACAGTGAAAGCACTAACCGCGTGTCCGTACTCTTCTCTGCAGCAGGGGTCCTTTCACAGTCTGTCTGCTGTCTTTATTAACAGCAATGAAGGCTGTATGAACACTGCTCACTCCTGCCTGAACACTGAGCTCCACCATCCTGCTCCTGATGCCCTCAACATCTGCAGCACCTGACCTCTCCTTCTGCTCCAGAGAACGGATCAGGGTCCGAGCCACCAGCCGGTGAATAGACAACCTGCAGAAACATGGAGGAAATTTGTTGGATTAGAAAAGCAAACAGTTGATGTCACTCCAATTCAATATGTTTCTATATGTGTTTGTGTGTGTTACTGTGTTTTCTCTGTTGGTTTGAGGCAGAAGTGGAGCTGGTTTGTTACTGGTTGATCTTTAAGACTGTATTTGACTGTCACTGTTCCCTCAGGGCCTCCTGAACTCTATGAAAGAGAAAAGGCAGATTTTAATAATCTAAATGAAAGACACTGGTTTTTAATTGTCATTAAAGAAACACATGCTAAATCATCTCACCTCTCCTTTAAGTTGGGCATAAATGAGTGTCCTTTGACCCTGGAAGAGCACATTGATGGGTGGAGACAGTGTGTCAACAGTAACATCATCTGGAAGGGTCCAATCCACAGAGATATTAAGCACAGCGGGCTGCAGCGCAAACCTGAGCGACTGCATCACCTGATATAGTTTGAAGAGAAAGAGAAACCATTGAGACATTTGACTAGGAAACATTTGTGCCTGTGAAATCCAGTGGAGAGCTTTACTTTGGGCTGCATGCGGTCGGTGTCTGTGATGAACTGAGCGTGACCAGATCCCTCCCTGGCCATTCCTGTGATGAGGGCGGCACTCGCACCCTCACCAATCCCCAATGAGAAACACCTGAAGACACGATAAACTGTTACTGTTAGTGATGAAGATATGAATGATGGACAGATCAAACCCAGAAGAGCTTTACCTGTGAGAGTGAGTGTGACTTTTCACCAGATCCAGCACCTCTTTAGTGTTTCCCACCTCTCCATCAGTGAAGACGAACAGCTGAAGAGAAAGCAATAATTTATACCAGAATGGGCAGACTATAGTTTACAGGTTGCCAGACTTCAAGCCAAACCACTTGATCAAAGCTTTAAATATTCAGTTTTTAGATATTTTAAAGAATTTACCCAGACTCATATATTGGCTTCTAGCGACCCTGCACTCAGCATCGGCCTTTAAAATTTATGTTGTTCGACCACTAAATATTTTTCTCTAAAATAACTGTTTCCTTTATCTGTCACTCCACTTCTGTGTAATGTGTATGTGTGTTCAAAGAAGTTTTGAAGTTTGACAATGACTCACTTCCTGTTAAGACAAGCTGTACATAATGTCATTAATTACAGTAAATAAGTCAG